GCCCACGGAGGATCCCGGCAAGTGGGACCCGGGAGGGCGGCCGGCCGGCTCGGGCGAGCACAACCTGGCTCTGGACGCGGCCGCCGGAACCTGGCTGGGTCCAGATCTACCCCGCAGTGTGACCTGGGCAGGGCCGTAGGCGTTCGGGCTTCTGGGAGGAAGGACGGGCCGAGCTGCTGGCGCCCTGTGAGCGCGAGGCCCGCGAGTGAGTGACGTGGCCGCGCGCGCAGCCGGCGCCGCTCGCGGCTGTTTTCGCGTCGTCGGGTAACGAAGCTGACGCGCTCCAGGTGTGGAACCCCGAACACGTGATTCAGGATCTCCGCGTTTCCGCCTTTGCAGTGGTTTAGAAAAGAAATTGGGCAGTGTCAATGCCCACCGTGCATAATGGAGGAGATTGAATAAGCCGATGTGCAATGTTATTACTGTTGTGAGTCGTCTCTTACAATGGAATAGTTGAATTTCCTTACATAGGTGGCACTTGGTAAATGGTTAGTTACCCTGTTCCAGGAACCACACTGTGAGTTCATACTGGGAGATTGGTGCCCCAAAGAGTGGTTACTGGTGTGCTTTTCCATTATGGTATGTTAGAGAGTACTCAGATAAAACCTGATTTTTCATGACCTTTTTTCCCTGTCCTTGTCTGCCTGCTCAGGACAAGGCCCACCTATAAGAGTCTGGAAAGAAGCCTGTGTTGACTATAGGAAATTGCAAAGTAATGTCTCAGGTGAGTTAATATGTTCCCACATCTGTCTGAAACTCTTCTTTTTCCTTTAGGTTTTTGTCATAGGGCACTCACAGGAGAAGAGAGAGGATATACTGAGAGGGAAAGTGAGAAATCACCTCCCCAAGGGGGATGGCCATGCACAGTCCCTTCCCCTCCATTCTCCTCTCAGGATTTTGGGCAGGCATGTATGCTCAAGTGCCAGTGTGATTTTCAGGCTACCAGGTCAGGAACTTGGAAGACTCCATAGGCACCACACCACCTGCTGGCCCCTGAAACACTTTCTTATCCCTACTCTTAAGTGTTAGTTCCTTTTCTTGCCAGTTCCCACCTAACAAAGTTCATTTAGAGACTGGATCTATGGTTCTTCTCATTGTAAGAAAAGGATGGAGCCCGCAGGAGAGCTCCAAAGTACTGGAGCTCTCAGTATTCCTCCTTTTTGCCAGTTGTCTGCTAGAAGAGTCTTGAGCCAAATATATTTAATTACAATTCAAAATGGAAGTTTGGAATTACAGATCATGTAGTTTAGGCCTGTCAAACTTCATCTTGGGGTCTCAGTGAGTGGTAGATCCATCCAGTTGCTCAAGTCGAGAGATGTTTGGAGTCCTCCTTGATTCTTCCTTTCACTTGTAACTCATATTCAGATAGTCTAGTTGGATCTAAAGTGTGTACAGAATTTGAACAGAATCTGACCGTTGGTAACCCTGTCACTACCACCACCACCTCCTAGTCCAAACTTCCCGAATTATCGCAGTAGCTTGGCTGGGCTCCTTTCTCCCCTTAACCCTCTTCATTTTGTTCTCAATAACAGCTGTCACGGAGACCTTGTTATATAAAATTCTGTTACTCTTCAACATGGAATTTTTCAGTGGCTCTAACTTAGAATTCAGAGTTCTGCAATAAAGCCTTGTACAATTCGGCAGTTACCTTTTCGATACCTTCTTTTTCTGCCTCCTTCCCCCTTTGAATTCCAGTTACAACCTCCAGGTCTTGGAAGTTGCTGTACAATCTGCTTGAAATAGCCTTGCCCCAGATATGCACAAGTGTACACTCCTGTGTATCTTTGTTCAATGGTTACTGTCTCAGTGGAATTTTCCTGGACCTCTATTTAAAATTGTAGTCACCTTCCTTCGCCTATCACTTCTACTTTTCCATTACTACTTTGTTGTTTTCCATAGTTCTTATCCTTTACTAGCTGATATATGATTAGCATAGCATATACTGGGGCCAGCAGGTGGCGTGGTGGTTAAAGGCGTTGGACTCCCACATGGCCAATGTGGTTCAAGTCCTGGACCTCGTGGCTTCCTTTCTTACTTCCCTCTTTCTCTCTCTGGTCAAATTAGATAATAATGATAATAATAAATAAAGTTAAAATAAAATAATTTAAAATATATATACATGTACTAAAAAAATCCTGCTGAGAATAGATGTTTAGTAAATAATTGTCAAGTGAATAAAATGGGTGATGAGAAAATGGTGCAGCAGAATCATGGGGTGGAAGCTGAAGCTTGCATAAGAAAGCACATGAGTAGCATTGTGCATGTTGGGTGGAGGCTGTTTTCTTGAAAAAATTTTTAAAAAAACTTTTTTTTTTTTTAGTGAGAGATGTTTGCTTTGGGTATATGCTGACCTGCAAAGATGCATGTGCTTGCTGGAGAGACAGAGAGACAGAAAGTAAGAAATCACCCCCCGGGGGGATGGCCACAACACAATCCCTTCTCCTCTATTCTTTTCTTGGGATTTTTGGACATACACATGTGCCCCGCATGAGTTTTTTTAAGCCACCAGCCTGGGACTTGAACTGCCATCAACTACAATCCTGCAATGTAACCATTACACCATCTGCTGGTCTCAGAAAAAATATTTTTTTGAAAACGTGGAAGCTAAAGTGAACTAATTAAGCCAACATCATTTATTTTTTTCAGTTTGCTATAGGGCACATATGCTTGCCAGAGAGAGGCAGAGAGAGAGGGAAAGTGAGAAAGTGCCAAGGGGAATAGCCACCTTGCATTCCTTTCTCTGCTCTCCTCTCAGGATTTTGGGTACCCACATCCTGTGTGTTTTTTAAGCTACTGCATCTGGGCCTCAAACTGTGTAGTGGACAATGTGGGATCCTGTCATCTTAACTACCACACCACTGGCTGGCTCCGGAAATCATTCATTGATTCATCTTGTAAACACTTACGAAGTACCTGTTAGGAAAAGTCATAGATGGATTTGGGTGTATGCTGACATGCAGGACTTCACAATCTACTTCAGCGTTGCCTAAGAGAACTTTCCAGATTGGCAGAAATGTTTCATATGTGTGCTGTCCAACACAGTAGCCATCAGCCCCATATTGCTGGAGCAACCAAGGGACTGAATCATGTAATTTAAATTTCTGTAGCCAAAATGACCAGTGGCTACTTTATCTAGCAGCATAGGACTAGTAAAAAAGTAAGAAAACATAAGAAATTAAGGTAAGTGCTAGGACAGATATTCTAAGTTCTTTTAGCAGCAAAGGTGAGAGAACATCCCAGACTTACTGGAAGATTGGAGAAGTAAAGGTTGAGGCATCTTTGAGGAAGTAAGGCTGGAACTGGGTTTTGGTGATTCATAGTACCAGGAGGCAGAGGAGGACATGAAAATTAGAGAGGCCTAAGAGGGTCTTTCAAGCAAGCTGCACAACTTTTCTTTTGGCCCTGCCCATAGGGACATGTGGCAATGTCTAGGCACATTTTTGGGATTTTTGGTTGTCATAATCAGGGTAGGCGTGGGATGTTGCTGCTATGGAATCTAGTAGGTTGAGGACAGGGATGCTGCTAAATGTCCCCCAGTGCACAGGACAGCTCCCTGTAACAAAGCATTATCCAGCCCCAAAGGTCAATAGTGTCAAGGTTGAGAAACCCTCCTCTAAATAGATAGAGTATCTGTTGTTGAGATTATGTAAATTTTCTTTTATTCCTTTATGAGACACAGAGGGAGAGAGAGGAGTGGAGAAAGGGAGCAAGACAGAAATTGGTGTTTTTGACTCAGTCTCACTGTGTTGTAATGTTCCTGTACCAATCTTCCAATTAGCTAGGATTACAGGCATGCAAACTTTACTGGCATGTTGAGATTGGCTCTGGAGCTGAAACTGGGCCTTCCATATGACTTTCAGCCTCCCAAGTGGTGGCATTATCTGTGTACCACTGTGGCTGGGCTTAGATTTTCTCCTTTAAGCAATTAATACAGTGGCATTTATCAATATATGTTAATTAATATAATCCAAAAAAATAAAGTATCTTTGCATTTGTGGGATAAAAGTATTCTATGCATTTAATATAGTGTTAGATTTTTCATTTGGTTTATTAGTGAGATTCCTAGAAAGCATGGTAGAAAGTAAAAAAAGTAGAAAATTTTTCATTTTATATAGTAAGTCTAGCATAATCTGAATACCGGGTAACTGTCAATCCAAGTTTTAAAAAAAATTTTCCTAGTGTCCAAAACCAAAGATTACTCTGACGTTGTTTCTTAGAGAAAAACCTGTCATTGTAGAACTTTCTCCTGTCCATTCAGTTTATTATATATAAACTTTTTTTTTAAAGAGATTTTTTATATAGAGTGTGTGTGCTTGCGGGAGAGACAGAGAGAAAGTGAGAAATCACCTCCCAAGGGGAATGGCCAGTCCTTTCTCCATTTTCCTCTTGGGACTTTGGGCATGTGTGCACTTGCACCCAGTGTGTTTCAAGCCACCACACCGGTCCAGGACTTGACTGAGTCCTGCATGCCCCAAATCTGGAGAGTAGCCATGGTCAGCCATGTGGGAGTACATGCCTTAACCACTACGCCACCTGCTCTCCCCTATAAACCTTTTTAAAGCTAAATAAGCCTCTTGCTGTTTTATATTATGTCAGTAATGTCTTTCTTTCTTTCTTTTTTTTTTTTTGGAGAGGTTTTTGCTATAGGGCACGTGTGTTCCCCAGCCAGACAGAGAGAGACAGAGAGATAGAAAGCGAGAAATCATCCCCCAGGGGGGATGGCCATGCCGCAGTCCCTTCTCCTCCATTCTCCTCTCGGGATCTTGGGCACGCACGCACACACGCCCAGTGTGAGTTTAAGCCACCGGGTCCGGGACTCGAACCGCGTTCGACCACGTGGGAGTCCAGTGATATAGCCATTACGCTAACTGCTGGTCCCAGTAATGTCTTTCTTAAGGGTCTTAGAACTTTTTTTTTTTTTTTTAATAAATATAGATATTAAGGAAGATAGTATCCCTGTTTCCTTGTATGTGTAGGACTAGGCTGCTGGCTCCAAGGTGCAGTTACCATCAAGTCATAAAGGTATGTTTTATTTTTCTTTGAGATAAGGGCAATTAACACATTGGCTACTTCAATGAACAGATTAATTTAGGATGAATTATGGTATATCAAATTGTGCTGCCAAGCTCTCTACTTGAGGACAAGTTATTTATTTTTGAAAACATATGTAATAGATTGTATTTGTTTAGCTTCATGTATGGGTGAGATTTCTTTCTGTCCTTGCAGACTCATTATTGCCTGCGAAGTGCATCATAGTATTGTTCAAAACTATTTTCTTTCTTTTCTACATTTGAAAAGAGTTTCTCCATTAGCAGATTTGTTTTTTTAATTATTTCCTCAACACCCATAAAGGTAAATTTTCCCTTTAAAACCAAAGACAGTCTCATCAGTGAACACATATACAAAATACCCCCCAAAAGTAATAAAGTATTAAATTATCTACTTTTGGAGTGAAAAATTTATCACAGCCAAACAATATATTTCATAGATGAAATATGGTAATAATGCAGTTTAAAACGTGTATTTTTTGCATGTATTATAATTTGAATACTAACAAACTATTATTGAACATTTAAGCTTTTTCTAGAATTTTGCTATGTTAAATTATACTGTAAAAATATCTTAAGCACATTTAAGCATTTCCTGGGCCAGCGGTTGCCATGGTGGTTAAGGTGCTGGATCCCACATAGCCAGCTGCATGGTTCAACATGCTGGGTGTGTGTGCATGTGCATGCGTGACCAAAATCTGGAGAGGAGACTGGAGGAGAAGGGATTGTGGTGTGACCATACGCCCTAGAGAGTGATTTCTCACTTTCTCTCTCTCTCTCTCTGGTGAGTGTGTGCCCTATTAAAAAAAAATTAAATAAAAAAAATTTAAAAACCCCAAAACTAACAACAACAACAAAAGCATTTGTTTAGAATATTTTTCTAGAAACTTTCCCATTCTTTCATTCTTTGCCCATACTTTAAGGCTGTATTCAGAGACTACCTATGGCATGAAAGCATCCGTTAGTCTTTTCACCTGGGGTCTCAAATTGTTTTAACTATCAAATGACTACCAACACAAGGTATAAGTATACACCTTTTTGTTGTTGTTCATATATTAGTTTTATGTATGTCTTAATCTGTTTGTATTGACTTGGGGCCAGCAGGTGGCATGGTGGTTGGCATACTGGTCTCCCACATGGCTGACCACAGTTTGAGTCCAGACATGGCGGCTTGCTTTCTCGCTTTCCCTCTCTCTCTGTTCAAACTGAAAAATAGTAATAATAACAATAACAATAAATGGAATTAAATAAATAAATAAATAAACAATTTAGTATAAAAACCCATAGACTGAATAATCGGTAAATAATAGAAAAAAAAAATTTTTTTTTGGAGAGGTTTTTGCTATAGGGTGCGTGTGCTCGCCAGACAGACAGAGAGAGACATTAGAGACAGAAAGCGAGAAATCACCCCCCAGGGGGTATGGTCACGCTGCAATCCCTTCTCCTCCATTCTCCTCTCGGTATCTTGGGCACACACACACGCGCCCGGCGTGAGTTTTAAGCCACGGGTCCAGGACGCGGTCGACTACGTGGGAGTCCAGCGACATAGCCATTACGCTAACTGCTGGTTCCCGAAATAATAGAAATTTAATTCTCACAGTTTTGGAAGCTGTGATGTCCAAGATTAAGGGGTCGGCTTCTAGTGAGGACCCTCTTGCTATGTCATCCCATGGTGGAAGAGTAAAGAGAGGGACACACACACACACACACACACACATGCATGCACACACACTATCGTAGAGGGCCACATTCCATTTTTTTAAAATAAGGAATCCACTCCTCTGATAATGACATTAATCCATTCTTGATGGTAGAATCCTTATGGCCTAGTCATTTCTTAAAGATCCTACCTTTAAATTTATTACAATGGCAACCATATTTCCAACACATATGTTCTTTGGAGACACATTTAAACTAGCATTCCTCCCTGTCCCATTCATGTCTTCTCACATGTAAAATACATTCATTCTATCTCAACTGTCTCAAAAGTCTTAACTCATTTAACACTAACTCACAAGTCCAGAGTCTTACCTACGTCAGATATGAATGAGAAAGTAACAATAGGTTCCAGGAAAGTCCAAAAGCCAAGAGGATGAACGACATTTAATATTAAGACCCTAGAATAGTCCTTGATACCTTGCGCTGCCTTCTAGATACCCAGAGGCATGGGGAGGAGGTTGGGCTTTTAAGGCAGCCCCACCCTTAATGCTGTGGCTGGGCTCAGCCCATGTGGCAACTCTCATGGGTTGAGTTGTGTCTGCAACCCTCCCAGGCTTGTGGTGTACACCAGGAGCTTGAGAGTTGTCAGTAGCCCCTATCCCCATTGATCCACTAGACCTACTGGTGACTATCTATGGCAGCTCTGACCCCACAGTTCTGCTGAGCATTGTCCTATTAGGGGCTCTCTGCAGTGGCTCTGCCCTGTAACAAGTCTCTGCCTGAGCCCCAAGACTGTCCATATCCTTTGAAATCTAGGTGGAGAAAGCCATGCTTCCGTAGCTTTTGCATTTTCTGTGCCTGCAGAATTAGCACCACCTTGACACTGCCAAGGCTTACTTCTTGTACTCTCTGGAGTGGCAGCAGAAGTTGCACCTGGGCCCATTTGAACTATGGCTGGGATGGTTGAGGGGTGCTGTCTGGATAGTAGGGAGGAGAAACTTGAGGTGGTTCTGTGCTTTAAGTCCCTAGGTCTCAAGGGCACCCTAGGCTTGTCTTTTGACGTTTCCTTCCATGCTGGGCCTGTGATGGCAGGAGCTACACCATTAATCTTTCAAGTGCTTTTGGGATCATTTTCCCCATTGTCTTGATGGATGACACCTGGCTTCATTCTGTCCATACTGACCTCTTTGTCAAACAATTGCAATGGCCATATCTTTGTTTTTTCCTTCTGAACATAATTTTTTATTCTTAATGAGGCCAGGCTGGGGATGTTCCAAACTTCATGTTCTGCTTATCTTTTAATTAGAAATTTCATCTTTAAATTATTTCTGTCTTCTCTAATTTTCTTATTTTACTTAATGCAAATAAGAGAAACCATACAGCTCTTTTCAATGTTTTGGTTAGAAATTTCTTCCGCCTGGTATCTTAGTTCATCAGTCTTAAGTTTTTGCCTTTCAAAGTCATCAGGCATAGATACAATTCAGCCAAGTTCTTTGCTACTTTATAACAAGGATGGCCTGCTACTCTAGTTCTCAGTACCATCTGAGACTTCATCAGAATGGCCTTTACTGTCCATATTTCTACTGACATTCTGATCACAACCATGTAAGTAGGCTCTAGGATATTTCAGACTTACCTTACAGTTCTCCTCCTCTCTGGGCCCTCCAGAGTCACCCTTAATGCTCTGTTCATGGTAATGTAGGCTTCTTCTAGCCTCCTTTCTCCAAATTCTTCTAGCCTCTACCCTGTTTTCCAGTTCCAAAGCCATGTCCACATTTTCAGGTATTTGTTGTAGCAACATTCCACTTCTCCTGTACTGATTTTCTGTTTTAGTTTGTTCGTGTTTCTTTTTAAAAATATTTGCCAGGGCGCATTTTCATAGTGAGAGAGGAGAGAGGAAAGAAGGGAGGTGGGAGAGAGAGAGAGAAAGATATATAGAGAGAAGCCTTCTGGGAGAATGGTCATGCCATAATCCTGTCTCTTCCATTTCTCTATCCTGTTGGGATTTGGGACACACATGCATAAGCCCCTGGTGTATTTTTCACGCCACTGGGTCTGGAACTCAGACCACATAGTTGGCCACATGGATCCAGTGCCCCTAACCATGGGTTGGCCCAGTCTGTTCGTGTTTCTGTAACAGATTACCAAAGACTGAGCAATTCAGAAACAAAATAATTTTATTTTTCACAATTCTAAAGGATGGGAAGTCTGAGATCAAGGAGCTGGCATTTTTGTCAAACTCATCCTTTTATAAGAAATCTACTCCCGTGACCAGCAGTTAGCATAATGGCTATGTTGCTGAACTCCCACGTAGTCGACTGCGGTTCGCGTCCTGGACCTGGTGGCTTAAAACTCACGCCGGGCGCGTGTGCGTGCGTGCCCAAGATCCCAAGAGGAGAATGGAGGAGAAGGGATTGCGGCGTGACCATCCCCCCCTGGGGGGGTGATTTCTCACTTTCTGTCTCTAATGTCTCTCTCTCTGTCTG